GGTCGACACTTGTGACTCCACACTGATCAGAGAGTGTACCAGCAACTTGAGAGAACTCACTAATAAAAGCAATGATGTTACTCTATGGTGAGTTCTAGGCCACAGAGACATTGAGGGCAATAAAAAGGTGGACAAGGTGGCAAAAGAGGTAGCGAAAACGCTATTTATTGGACCCCAATCCGGTTGTGGAGACCTCGAAGGTAGCCTCACGCTGGAAAGAACTTCCAGATGACAGAAAAACGAAGAGTATGATAACTTCGTTGCAAAACAAAAGCAAAGAGGTTTCATGCCTCAGCAAAGAGTATCCTAAAGAGGTTTCCTAAAATATCATCTCTTCCACATTGGCCAAACTAAACTTGTTGAGTTTGTAACGACGAGTCTGACACCTACCAGCATAGAGGAACAAGATCTTGGAGCAATACTAAGGTTCATCAAGGACCTACATTTGCCCAAACAAAATCATGGTCTGTACCAGAAGTTAAAAAGTTGGTTGAGCAAAAACGAAAAGCATACCAATAGTACAAGAGCTTTTGTTCAAATCTTAGTAAGAGACCTCCGCATGCAACTAAAGCTTAGTGATTAATATACTATCAACCTGAAATTGATCATCATATTGCTACGCATTGGCTGAAAGCGATCTCGGCTTTATCCAGTTTATATTTTGACTAACTAATCGCCTGTGACAGAGGCTTTGTCATCCATATTGTGGTGCCTCTGTGACAGAGGCTAAGTTGTAGATCTTTTAACTAATTAAGATAAATAAACAATCATAAATCTTTAATCTGTTTGATTATGGTAGCTAACGAAATAGTTGAGTAGCACACCAAACTGATTGACCAAGTTGATGACTTAATGAACACCCTAACTAAAAACGGATTTAAGATACAAGGGTATGCTGATGACCTGGTAATCACAATCCGAGGTTAATATGATTCAATCATAACTCAGCTAATGGAGGGGGGCGAATGGCCCCGTGGTAAGCTCTCGGGCTACCACGCCGGCGTCCTGGGTTCGATTCCCAGTGAATACACGCCGAGTCGCCGCCTCCCCGTCCTTCGGAGGGGACGTTAAGCCGTCGGTCCCGGCAACCAGTCTAACATCTCTGGTTGTCGTCAAATACATGTGTAGTTGGAGGTTGTGAACGTTAAAACGGGTTGAAAGCGCGTCTGCGCTCTTTGAGCGGTACTCAACCATGCACCCAAGTTTCTGGGCGTTGGAGTACCAGCCCGGCTTGGGGTCGTCTTCAAATTGCTGGGCGTTGAAGTACCAGCCCGGCTGAAGGCGAGGCGAGAAGCGGTATCAGCCTGATCGGATGCCATCTTCGAACATCTTTCCGAAGAACATGGCGGAAGTAAACCGTGAGGATGTACAAAGGGACCGTTGGGGCCTAAGTGCTTTGGTTATACCACCTGTGGTTTAACCAACCTCACATGAAACTACATACATACAACTCAGCTAATGCAGAAAGCCCTACTACTCACCAGTACTTGGTGCAGAAGCAATGGGCTCAGCATCAATCCCAATAAAATCGAAATATATTGAAAGCAGAACTCAAAACAGAAACTAAACTGGAACTCACACTTAGATAAGGTGAGGAAAAAGGCCATCATGGAAAACCACAACTGCCGCAGGCTCCTAGGAAGGAACTGGGGTCTCAAACCACGAATGGCTCATTGGGCCTACGTAGCAATAATCAGACCCATGGTCGCCTACGCCTCATTGGTTTGGTGGCCAAAAACAAAACATAAAACAGCTCAACAACAGCTGGCACAAATCCAGCGGTTAGCATGTCTTAACATAACGGGTGCAATGAGATCCTGTCCGACGGCTGCTTTGGAAGCCCTACTCGGTCTCACACCGCTCCACATATATATACAAAAGGAGGCAGCCTTAAGTGCCTTATCACTGAAAACAGTTTCTTCACTCAAGTTGATGCAGGGTAATCTCAGAGGACACCTCGAGATCCTCAAGGATCCATGTCTAAATCACCTGATTGAAATTAAAACGGACCTTATACCGACGGAATACAATTTCAACCAATCGTATAAGGTCATATTTAGTAACAGGGATGATTGGGCGAAGGGAGGACCTCAACTAAAAAGAGGAGCCCTAGCCTGGTACACCGATGCTTCAAAGACAGTAAGATCTGGAGTAGGCATGGGCATCAGTGGACCAAATAGCCACATCAAATTGCCTCTCAGCTCGGACTTAACAATTTTCCAAGCAGAAGTTCTTGCTATAAACTTCTGCACCGCTTTGAACCTACAGAAGGGACAAAAAGGTGCATCCATAAACATTTTCACAGACAGCCTTAAAGGCAATTCAGGCCTACACGTGTGGCTCCGCACTGATCAGAGAGTGTACCAACAACCTGAGAGAACTCGCTAATGGCAATGATGTTACCCTATGATAGGTTCCAGGTCACAGCAACATTGAGGGCAATGAGAAGGCCGACAAGCTGGCCAGAGAGGCAGCAAACACGCCCTTCATTGGACCCCAACCTGGTTGTGGACTACAAAAAAGCCACCTAAAACAAATAATCAACAACTGGGAGGCTTCAAAGATAGCCTTACGCTGGAAAGAACTTCCAGGTCACAGACAAGCGAAGAGTATGATAACTCCGTCGCAAAACAAAACCAAAGAGGTTTTATGCCTCAGCAAAGGGGATCTAAGAACGCTCTCAGGCTACCTAACCGGCCATGTGCCCCTAAAATACCACCTCTTCCACGTTGGACAAGCTGAGGATCAAACTTGTCGACTATGCAACGACGAGTCAGAAACTGCTGAACATATACTGTGCAATTGCGTCGCCAGAAGACGTCTAAGGCACAACGTCTTCGGTAAAACTCCCCTGTTACCTACCGACATAAAGGTTCAAGACCTCAGGACACTACTAAGGTTCATTAAGGACCTACATTTGCCCTAAACCTTTGGAGGGCTAAAGTTACAATAGAACTTATAGGTCGCGGTAACGAGAGGGGCCGCTCTCCTCAGCCCGGCAGCAATAATAATAATAACACACCAAAAGATTTAGTAGAACACACCAAAGTTGTTGAAAGTATCCTTATTCAAGAAAGTTTAAACTAAAAGGGAGACAGATCATCAGATTACCATCACTATTACGAAACTATTGCAGAGATAATCTCCATTAATCTCACGATTTCCTTTGAGAGCTTAATTATGCGTTTAATATTGCAATGCTACGTGAACCAGAAAATAAATGCGAAAAAGAAAAATAAAGAAAAAAAAATATAAATAGAAAGTGTAATGGAAAAGTGACTTTATAATTTTAGCTTACCATTAAATTTATAGATGAAAATGTACCAAGGAAATAGAAAACAATAATATTACCGTAATTAATGATGAATTAACGAAGAATTAATATTGAATTAATGATGAATTTATGGCGCATTCGTTTAAATTTAGAACTAGAAAGTGTCGTAATCGATTTTGTGTGTTTAAGTTACATCATTTATGTTTCACCCTATAATTTAGATTTAAAATTTTAATTAAAAAAAATTTCATAAAGTGTAAAAATAGGAAACACACATATCATATAAACCGAGTTTAATTACTTTAAGGCGAAAGTCGTGCGTAAATAAAATGACGCTATTATACCGTCTCAATTAGTAATGAACGACGCTTTTCACTTTCTATAAAGACGGATGAAATTATTATAAACGTTAAACGGTTGTTAAAAAAAGCAGGAAAAACCGGGATCTTTTTTTTTGTTTTGTTGGGTTTGGTTGATTTAAATTTTAGGCGATACATTTTTTGATTATATTTCCGTGTCAATGTTAATGTATATAAAATTAATTATGTAGGCGAAAAAAAGGAGGAATCTATTAGGATAATAAAGATCGTGGGATTATTTATCACCTGCGTATGAAGCACATTTTAAATTCCTAATGTTAACGCCAAATTTCTTATACTTTTTATTACCAACAAAGAATTACGTAAAAAAGAAAGATAACAACAACGACAACAACATGGGAACTTCCTAGGTCTGTACCGATGCGATGAATAACGTTCCACGTTGCAGAAACATCCCAAAGAACCATTATGTGCAAAAATCACAGGCTACACAACATTCGAAATATCGAGATCTACTTCCCATACTGTGAATAATGAGGAGCTCTAATTACGCACTTTTCTCACGTTCCTTTTTAATTTACACTTTGTACATTAACGATCTTGATAAATCACCGTTGAAAACGGAAAAACAAAGAGATAAAGTAAGAAGTTAAAAAAATGATTCCAAATAAGATGGTTTTGGTATAAAATTGCAGAACGAGTCAGTACTATTCAGAATCCGTACGATTTGTGGGAGTGTCAAGGCATTCGTCGACTTTAACTACCGGTTGTAAACAAGAAGTTGTGAAGCTATAAAAGTGTTCCTTCTAACCTCGAATATCCCTACATGTAATCCAATCACTTACGTATCAATTAATAGCATGTTTTAGTCTAAATTATAATTTCTTAGATTCAACTTTAAATATTAAATATACTGTTCATTTTAAAAACTGAAAATTTATACCATAAATGTATAACCCGAAAAATAACTAAATTCCAAAACGATTTGAGGAAAAAATGTCTTATTCAACAACTATGCAGTTTGGAAAGTTTAAATTTTGAGGAAAAAAATGTTTTGGAAACCTCATTTTACAATTATCAACTTTAAATCAACAAATTTATATAAAATAAACTATTCACATTGACTATTTATACAAATAAATATAACACCTTTAAAAGATGTCAACCTTGAATATAAAATTTTTTTTACATATATAAAAATTATTATTATAAATTAATGATATTGAAATCTCATCGAACCCAGATGGGTGAAATCGCGTAAATTCGTTTCTTCTCTCCTCGATCGCGCGTTCGAAAACAGAAAACGAAACAGAAACCAGCCGAGTCGTCCCACTTCTTCGAGAACGAGTCGAGGTGCTTTTACTTTTCAAAGTCTTCAAGTTTTAAAATAAAATCCAACAACTTACCTGTTTGCATCCGTTGCTTATCTCGTCGCTTTTGATCTTCTTCAACGATATCCATCGCTCAGCCCTCCAACCTCGACACTATTCGTATCCTGCTGTTCTTCCTGCCATTCGCACCAGCACACAAAACCAGCACCCAAAATAAAAACTTCTAAAATAACCCCATTATCCTACCCGAACTTTTTTAAATGTCGCCGCGAAATCGATAACTTTTTTTAATCAAGTTTCTTTACTTCTCGAAAACACTTGTAACTCTGCCGCGATGGTTCTGCGGAGTTGAGCCGATGGTAAGCGAAAGTGAAATACCAAACGGGCGAGTCGCGAAGAGGTGCACAACTGCTCGGTGAATGGCACCGCGACTGGATTTGTGTCTTGTGTCTTAGCCTCTGGTCCCCGAAACGATGACGTAGATTGTCTCGTGCGATCGTAAGAATAAGAAAACCTCGGTAGTTTACTATCCACAAAGCTGTAGGTGGTTTTGACATGTCAACTACTTATCAATCAATTTCAAGACATTATCTTTATCTTTACTCTATATTTATCGTTTTAATTTTTTTACTTTTAACACAGGAATTTGTGAAAGATAACCTTAATTAACTTGTTATGGGTATTTTTAAGGTTTTAATATTAATCGATAAATTCCATCCAAATTTATGAAATTTTATTCAAATATATTATAAAATAGACTAAGAAAACGGTTAGTTTATAGAAAAAAATTATTAATAAGATATAGTACTTATTATAATTTGTACACAAAACTCAGAACGATTTCCGTATAATCGTTACGCCAAAGGCTATTTGTTGTTAAAGTGGAAGTTCTTTGGCATTTGAAGGTAGTTCGTGCAGCCGCTGCACCCAAATTATACTACCTTTAACTGCTTCGCATAGATTTGTCATCAATAAAATTTCTCATTGACCCAATGATGTGATGTATGGAGTGAAGTATGATATGCTTCTTTGACAAGATCCGGTTACTCCTAGAGGCCATCGGAAAGTGATGTGCAAGTATTTTCCAAAAATTATCAAGGTGTTGTAACCATGACAAGATGTGAAGCATCGATGATCACCAAGGAAGTTGTGCAATGGAACTTAGTTATTGAGGATTAAGTTTTTATAGTTTCGTTGAACCAAAAAAACTCATTTATCTCATCAGCTATCATTTGTTACGGTTTTAAGTGTTTTTTCTTTATTGATTTTAACTTATTGTTTTTAAGATAACCAATAATATTACGTGATTAAATTTTCGATTTTGTTCGGTAACCATTTTGGTAAAATACGTAACAGCTAAAAAGCAATTCCTGCTTAGATAACTTAATTTTACGACACCCACCATTGTGTGACGAATCATTTCAGTCGTATTAAAGCATGATGACAATTTAATAATTTCACAGTTTTATTATGTTATACAGGGTGTTTCATAAAATATGCGCAGGACTTCAGGATGTGATAGCTTGTCCAAAAATTGGAAAAAAAGTTTCTATCAACTTACTCTCTAAAATTTTCGAGATACAGGGTGTTGAAATTTAATAAAAAAAATCGTTTTTTGCGAATATCTCCGGAACCGTTTATCATACAGAAAACAGCGTTTATTATCTACTCATAATAAGCAAAACTTTCCTTGTTGTGCGAGAAAAAATGTTCGTAAAGTTATAATTGGTGAAGATTTTGAACGAGTAGTATTTGTTTTTCTCCCCAACTTCTACGCCGCTGAAGAAAGTAGGGTTTTGAGAGGTCTATTTGAACTGTCATCATCAGCAACAATTTTCCGTAAATGGTTGGGCTATCATCGTTGATGATCATTTGATAGGTCCACATTTTTTACCGAACAAATTAAACGATGCAGATTATCGACCATTTCTAGAAGAAGTACTGCCGGAACTGCTGGAAGATGTACCACTTCAAGTAAGACAAAATATGTACTTTATGCATAATGGAGCTCCGGCCCACTATAGTTTGGTTGCTCGCCAATACTTGGACGACGAATACCCAGACCGTTGGATCGCCGCACCATTGGCCACCGCAATCTCCCCAATTTAATTGTTTAGATTCATTTGAAAACCCTAGTCTACGCTACTCCAGTTGAAAAAGTTGACCAATTAAGAGAGCGCATTGTTGTATGTTGCGACATAATTCGGAACACTCCGTGAATTTTCCTGCTTTTTCAAGCTATCACATCCTGAAGTCCTGCGCATACATTATGAAACACCCTGTATTTATACAGTCAATTTCACTTAAAATGCAATATACAAAAATATATTTCCATAGAAACCAAAGAGTACCTACTTACTTTGTCCCACATAAAATGTAACATATCTGAATGTTTCTAGTTCTAGGTCTATTGTTAGTTCTAGTTTTACACTAGCACTATCACTAGAACAGACACTAGACCTAGAACTAGAATCTGTACTATTAAGCCATGTTGCATTTTATGTGGAACAGTGCAAGTGCATAGTAGTTTCGTGATTATTGCGAGATATATGAAATTCCCGATAGGTATTAACTGCACATAAATATTTATAATTCTTATATACAGTATAATAGCTATAGTAGAAACCACGAAAGCTGGCAGTGACAGATCGCTTAAAAATAGTATGAATCAAGATATGGACGTACGACTTAGATTATTTCACCACATACATTTAAATGTAGGTTATGTTAGTAATGGAGGTTATATGTCAAACATTGTCAAAGATATTATTTAAATGATTTTCCTTTCAAAGAAAACATGAGCTTTGTTCGTTGGGACTGCACTACTCTGCACGACATGGCACTCGTATGACGTCATAGTGCAATGAAGTGTAAGTCAGTGCAATGTCATGTCAACTTAGTGCAGGTCAGAAAAGTGTATAAACCGTGGTCGCAACGAACAGATTGTTATAAAAAAAGTGTATAATATTTGAAATGGACGAACAGGAGATTGTCAGCGAAATACTCGTGGAAAATGAAATCATTGCAGAATGTTTTTTTAGTAGCGATTCATCAATTATTATTATATTATTATTATTTTTTTTTTTTTTCAATTATTAGCGAAATATATTTTCTACCCCAAACTACTAACCCTTATTAGTTCTTTCAAAAGTACTACTTAACGTATAAAGAAATCACATGCTAAATTGCACCAAAATCGATAAGCAGTACTTGAAAAAAAAAAAATTGGGGTTGTGAGGGTAGTTAACCCCAGCCACCCCTAAATGAGAAAAAACACATAATTAATATTTTTAAATGTACTATAAGTGTATTTAATGAAGCCAAAATCGACAGGGTAGTTTTTAAATTATTCCAAAAAAGTAGGGGTAGTTTTCTACTGCCTCTACTGGGATTGAATATACTGTGTTCTCTAATACAACAAATATTAATTATTATAAGGTTTTATTTCTTAATATTTAATATTAATATTAATTATTACAAAACACGTTTTCAAATATTCCGCCATTTTAGTTACACTGCACTTATTGAACTTAATCGAAAGCAGGTGCAACAAAATCTGCACTAACTTGCACCGGCTGCACTAAATTGCACTGCACCTGGCCCAACGAACAGTATGAGTGCAACTGCACTAAACTGCACTATCCCCAACGAACACACAACATCTGCACTAAACTGCATAGTGCAAGTGAGTGCAAGTAGTGCAGTCCCAACGAACAAAGCTTTAATCGAAAGCAGGTGCAACAAAATCTGCACTAACTTGCACCGGCTGCACTAAATTGCACTGCACATGGCCCAACGAACAGTATGAGTGCAACTGCACTATCCCCAACGAACACACAACATCTGCACTAAACTGCTTAGTGCAAGTGAGTGCAAGTAGTGCAGTCCCAACGAACAAAGCTATAGATTCATGACAACGCTCACAACACGTTTCGATTTGAGGTTATAATTATATAGTTACATCCATTAGAAGAACAGACGTACTTTTTCGACGTGGCCATTTGAATTGTACAGCAGACATATTAAACTAATGCTATTCCTTTCTAACACACATTACTCTCTAGCGGTTTGTGAACTACGTATGGCATTTGTAAGAGCGGAAAACGATGATTTACTGCCAGCTCTCGTGGCGTCTACTATAACAAGATTGTCCGCGCTTATTATAGAGAAAACCAAGAACATTATTAATACTACCAATAATTTCCCTTTGGTATGCGGATATTCCGATCACAGATTGATTTCTAAATCGATTTCGGCAAAAACAAGAAACAACATTAAAGTGGTAAATTCGAATTATTATGCGAGTCGTGTTTTACGAAAGCGATACAATAAAACTTAATTACCAACTCGGCCTTACAAGGGACGATCACGACACTGACACATGTTAGATTCGATCAAGTTTATCATCACGACAAACTTTTTTCTTTATTGTTTATAAGAAAAATAGGAAATCAGAGGTTTGTCTTACACTTTTTAGAGGAACGACATTTTAACTTAAACAAATATTCTTAAATAATTTTCATTGATTATTCAATATGATTTAATACAAAGACTTTTGTTACACAATATAGTCTCATTCGATATCGATTTCTTAAAAGCGACCGGTCTTGCCGCATTTAAACTGGATTTAGGCACAAAAACCACACCAACCTTATTGCTAAATACGACTCCGGTTGACTTTTACTGGAATTGAGTGAACGGTTTTGCTCAACTTTTTAAAGCTCGTTGTATGTAGGACCGCGCGTTTACGTTCGCGTGCAAACCACACGATACAAGATCGAAATCGATCGGAAATTACAACTATCTGGTATAGTATACAGCCTATCAAGATTTTTTTACGAAATACTTGTGTTGCCGCGGTAGCGATATAACCATAGCGTGTGTTATTGTACCCGACCTTTTTGTTATTCGGAGCATAACCTGCCGGGACCAACTATAGAACTATAGATTCTTGAAGAATTGTAACGTGCGAGTTTTTTTTTCTTCGTCCTCGCTTTCGGTTACTTCACGCGGCGCCCCACGCTTTGATTGATATAGGAATCGGGTTACGCGAGCGCAATTTAAAACGTATTAACTAATTGCGACGTCGAATCGAAAAGATTACCAAACTTATTTCATTTCGTACGTTGAAGGAATGAAAATAGATAACAAAAAATGCTCGATGTTATTAAAAATAAAATTAACAAAAAAAAGATTAATTGCGATAAATCTTGGTTAACTTTAAAACTTTCTCTTCACATTTTTTGTTAGTTATTATCTAAAGCGTGAAAATTAAATGAATAATTTTACATAACATTTATAATCAGATTTGTTTCCACTCACATCAAAAGATATTGTACCACCTCGGCAGCAAGCGACTTTGGCTAAATCAACTGAGATGCACGATGTCACATAATCAAGTCGAGGTTGCTCGCGGACGAGGCACTACATTTAATGTCATATCAACACAAAATATATTGTAGCGCCTCGGCCGCAAGCAACCTCGACTTAATCAACTAAAAGTCACTCTATTAAGTTATCAAGGGACCTCAGCCCTTGGAATTTCTATCTTTGAGACCTCCTAACTTTTGATTACCTGTTATCTAATTAAATGGCATTTTCCCTTTTTCAATAGGGCGTTTTCGCTGCCTCTTTGGCCAGCTTGTTCGGCTTTTCATAACCCTCAATGTCTCTGTGACTTGGACTAGGTTCAAAACGGTGCAGAATTTTTAACAAGAGCTTCTGCTTGAAAAATAGTTATGTTCGAGCTGAGGGGCAATTTAATGCGGCTATTTAATCCCGGATACAACTGAACTCTTTGAAGCATCGGTGTACCAGACAAGATTAGAATATGGGTGCGGCAGATCTAGTTAGCCATAACACTGTTTCTAGTTCTAGGTCTTGTGTTAGTTCTAGTGATAGTGCTAGTGTAACACTAGATCTAGAACTAGAAATATAATTGTACATTTTAATTGATCTAAAAAAATTTTTTTTGGTTTAATCCACTTACCTCGCTTATAATTTCATCCATTTACTCATTTTGAATTAAAGACAACCTTTAAATCCAATTAATTATGTGTTTTTCATTAAAAAATTTAAATTCAATGTCAATTTTGACAAGCAACTGTAATATTTGGATCTTAATCACCATGGTAACCGAGTCAAGTTGGATAACCTTAAAATAATAAAATTTTATTCCGATTTTTTTATCAATTCTAACCTAATTTTTATTAATTTTAAAACATTGCAAATTCTTTACGATTATCTCGCATTCATAACAAATTCGTTAATTGTAATTAATTTAAATCGATTCTAATTAACCCATTAGTGCATGAAGTTAAAACATCTTTTTTTTTGTATTTTTCTTTAATTTTGTTATCTAAAATGAATGAATTTTTTTGATTTAATCCACTTACCTTGTTTATAATTCCATAGATAAACCAATTTTGAGTTAAATACAGCCTTTTAAACCAATTAAATAAGACTTTTTTCTTAAAAAAACTTAAATTATATTTCATTTTTGACAAGCACCTGCAATATTTGGATCTTAATCACCATGGTAACCGAGTCAAGTCAAGTTGGATAACCTAACAATAATAAAATTTTAACCGTTAGTATTTCGCTTTATATTTTAATATTTTTTTAATTTTATTTATTTTTTTTTAATATTTTTGTATATTGCTTCTTAAGTGAAATACACTGTATAAATAAAAATATAGAAATGTCAATTCTTCCAATGACGTGACAGCAAGGCCTTTGCGGGGGGATACGTTCATAAGAACAGCGTTCATATGGAGTTGGATAACCTTATACAGTAAAACCGGTTGCAATATTGAAAAACGTTGTGTTAAAATATGTTTCTAGTTTTAATTTGATATGTTCGCCAACTACACATCGGATAAATTGGTTGCCTAATTAAAAATAAAAGATTTTAATTTAAAAAATGTCGATAAAATCGCGACCTACATACTCTACATAGTAGATTATTGTCACAAATGACATTTATAGGTTAAGTATAATTAAAAGATCTTTAATATTTTGTAAAAAAAATAGCGGTGAACTTCATTTCTTGAATATATGGGTAATTAGATAAACTTATACATCTCTTTATCTACATTGGTATACTTTACAGTTTTGTTTTAGTATAAAGTTTACATAAAAGGACCGGTCCCAAAATGACGACGAATTTAGCAAGAACATTTTTAAAATCTTGCGTGAAATCAATAGTTGTGAGAAACCAACAAATTCGATCGAATTCAACGTTTAAATCTGCAGTTATAAAACAGATGAAGTATCCATTTACTATTGAGGAAACGCGACAGCGTAAATTAGATAAAAGTGAGGTTAGAATACAAGTAAAATATTGCACTTTAAACTCTACGGATGTTGAGAATTTTCGAACGGAGTTTAGAGAAGAGCCTTTTACACCTGGTTATGAGTTATCTGGTAAAGTAGTTGAGGTTGGAAAAAATGTTGCTAAAGACCAGATCATGGTTGGAGAACAAGTAGCTGCATTATCTTTTAAAAATTATGGTGGATATGCTGATGAATGTATTGTAAGTTTCCCTTTTTTTTATTAAAACGAATTTATTTTTGAAGGGTGAATTATTTTTAGGTGGATGTATCTGATTGCTTTAGATTACCAGCTAATGTTAATCTTAAAGATGCTCCAATTTTTCTTTGTGGGCATTCATCGGCTGTTTATGCATTTTCTAAATTAAGACTACTGAAAGAAAATGAAATGGTCTTAATTTCTGCTGGTACAGCCGGATTTGGATTAGCTGCTATTGATGTTGCTACTCATATGTATAAAGCAAAGGTATATAATAATATTTTTTTATCTTTTTTAAATAAACCATCTAAAACAATTTGATTCAAGTATCTATTTCTGTATGTACAAGTCAGGTGAAAATTACAATCTGTTCTAATTTGTGTTTGAATTGGAATATGAAATTAGTTTTTAAGAAATAATTAAGACAAAATCATGGATTAAAAAATAAAATGGGTGATTAACACAACTTTCAAATTGTCTGTAAATGTTAAAAGATAAATTAAAATGTTAAAAAAAAACCATTTCCACCATAACTAGACGTCCTAGATCACAGATTCTGGAGGTACAATACTGAATTTCTTACTTTGTCCCACAAAAGCCAACATATGATAATGTTGTCAATAGTGAATAACTAACAATAGACCTAGAATTAGAAACATTCAGATTTAGCTGGTCGCCTCTTAAGACAACATAATTCGTCAAAAGATCCACAACTACACTTGATCAACAGTTCAGATCTGCAGTTTTATTTGATAAAGCCAATGCTACTTGAGGCTGAAGCACTGCAATATCTGTGGCATATGATGACCAGTTTCAGATAGAATGTTGAATAAGGTTAATTTTGTTTTCTTTTGAAATTTGAAAAATCATCCAGGGGAAAGAATGTCGGTTTTCTTTTGTACCCCAATTAAAGCGTGAAGGAATGTGAAGGATAGGTCAGTTTTGTTTTGAACCCTAATTATAGCGTGAAGGAATGTTAAGACAGGTAGCATTCTTTTGAAAGCCCAATTAAAGCGTGAAGAAACCCTATTTAAAGCGTGAAAGAATGTTAGGATGGGTCAGTTTTGTTTTGAAACCCTAATTATAGCGTGAAGGAATGTTAAGACAGGTAGCATTCTTTTGAAAGCCCAATTAAAGCGTGAAGAAACCCTATTTAAAGCGTGAAAGAATGTTAGGATAGGTCAGTTTTGTTTTGGAACCCTAATTATAGCATGAAGGAATGTCGGTTTTCTTTTGTACCCAAATTAAAGCGTGAAGGAATGTGAATACAGGTAGTTTCCTTTTGCAACTCCAATTAAAGCGTGAAGACACCCTAATTAAAGCGTGCAAGAATGTTAGGATAGGTCAGTTTTGTTTTGAACCCTAATTATAGCGTGAAGGAATGTTAAGACAGGTAGCATTCCTTTGAAATCCCTATTAAAGCGTGAAGACACCCTAATTAAAGCGTGAAAGAATGTTAGGATAGGTTAGTTTTGTTTTGGAACCCTTATTATAGCGTGAAGGAATGTTAAGACAGGTAGCATTCTTTTGAAAGTCCAATTAAAGCGTGAAGAAACCCCTAATTAAAGCGTGAAAAAATGTTAGGATAGGTCAGTTTTGTTTTGGAACCCTAATTATAGCGTGAAGGAATGTTAAGACAGGTAGCATTCTTTTGAAAATCCAATTAAAGCGTGAAGAAACCCTATTTAAAGCGTGAAAGAATGTTAAGATAGGTCAGTTTTGTTTTGGATCCCTAATTATAGCATGAAGGAATGTTATAAGTCAGTTTCAGGTCTGAACTCTGAAGACGCATGGCTAAACCCGATACTTTCTAGGTGTAGTGTTAGTTCTAGTTTTACACTATCACTAGAACTAAAATCATTTTGGTTTAGCCGTCTGGCAAGACGTGCGCCTAAATCCGAATGTTTCTAGTTCTAGGTCTAGTGTTAATTCTAGTTTTAATTGTTATTCATCATTAGATTGTGGTATATTTTTATTGAACGAAAAGTAGAACTAACACTAGACCAAGAATCAGAAATATTCAATAGCCGTGCGTCTCTTAAGACGACAACTCAGAGTTATCATAAGGACATCACCTTTTACAAGCAAAACTTTTCCTTTGCAAAAGTACTCAATGCCTGTACTATTAACACGTTTGGCATGGCATCAATGGGCGCGGTCAGCGGACACAGCTGATGTAAAAAAGCAGCTTTTGTGATGAGTATGATGATAAGCAGCATGTTTCTGGTCGCTGTACGGTATTTCTACACATCATGTTTTTGACATATTATGCATTAAATGTCTAAACTGTCTTGGTTGACAGCAAGGTCTATAGAACATAAGGTTACCCAATACCGATTCTCCTTCTCTGAGAGGCAAGGTGGGTCAGTGACGTAGCTGGTTCTATGAACAACACAACACGATGCGAGGTTTAAATATTTTATATAGACTGTACCACAGTATAGGCACGTATAGGCTATCTTTTATTCTGACTGTATCGAACCAGTGACGTCAATTTGCGGGGTAATAATCGATACTACAGAGGCATAGGGAATGAGGTAACCTTATGTTCTATAAACCTTGGGTTGACAGTATTAGATTAGTTAAGTCCCGTATTATACGTGTTTGCTAAAAATAGTCAATACAAATCGTAATAAACGTTTGGTAGTGGATTATTTTTTAAACGATGATGATTTAGATATGAATATCTTAATGGTATTGAATAACCTTGCTAATAACATCACACAAAGTTATCCTCAATATATTAACCTCACTTCACGACTTCAAACATTTTCTGTCACTTTCATTTAAACGTCAAACCAAAGCGCTGTTAAAAACGGCCAGCGCTGAGTTTCAGCGGCAAACCAGCGATACCGTTCAGGAATCTGATGTGGCTCAGCTACTCAGCTGCTGTGTCCGCTGACCGCGCCCAATGTGTGCCTCAGCTCATAAATTCAAAAAGACGGCATGACTTTTCTATTTATTTAACATTGTAATGAGGCAATACAATGTTAAATAAATAGATATTCAAAATCCACCGTCTGTACGAACAATTTTATTTATATTACCTGGTCACGAATATTTATACATGTTTCATAATTATAGTGTATTTTATGAGGATTTATGACAAAACTTCAAAATAATAAATATAAAATAATTATTTATTTTTGACAGAAAAAGTAAATATAATTATTATTATTTTTTAGTTACTTAAATTATGAGGCATCACGCCGTCTAAGTAACTAAAAAATAATAAAACTGCATTTAAATGCTTGAAACTATGTAAAACGTTTATTATAAATTTTTTCAAATGAAATACTATCAAAATAGTTTGTCGTCCTTAGTGAAAGAAAAAATTATTCTACACCCATGCTTAACGTGTTAAGCCATGTTGCATTTTATATAGGACAGTGCATGTGCATAGTAGCTTCGTAACTGGTTACTGCATTCATATATGGCGAGTTATATGAAATTTCTGGTATTTAAAAATATAAATTAAGGCAAAATCATGGATTGAAATACAAAGTGTGTGATTAATACAGCATTCAAATTATCTGTAGATTTTAAAGGGTAAATTAAAATGTTTAAAAAAACATCTCCACCATAACAATGTAGGCGTATTGCCGTGACCAGGATTCGAACCTGGGTTACTACGGCCACAACGTAGGGTCCTAACCACTAGACGATCACGGCTTCGGGAGGTGATGGTAGGAACATGAAAGGAAACTTGGTTGAAGAAAATTGGTTATGCTCTATTTACCTTAATACATACCACTTGTGTGGGAATGCAAATAAGTACACTATTTAAATATACAAATCGATTTAGACGAAATCATGGATTGAAGAATATGGAGTGTATTTTTTTAGCATCGTCCAGAAGGCTAGCTATACTTTTGTTGGATTGGATGGTGCTCCTAAATTGTTTCTTTGTTGCAGTTTACTTAAATTAAAAACTTATTACTTAGGTCCATTACTATCATCTTTTGGTTAAATTTATCTTATAGATAAACCCATCTACTAGCCAATCAGAGCGCGTAAAATAGCCTTAACAGAATAATAACCCCTTAGATAGCTTAACCAGAAGATAGCCTTAGTACTCACCATTCACAGGAATTAGTATCTTTTTTAGGTATTGGACACTGCAGATAATAATCAAGTTCAACCCCAATTTTTCATTTAATACAACTTTATTTATTTCAGGTTTGTCATTAGCAACCTCATGGTAACAATCCCAATATGATATATAAAATCTCTTGTTGCAGTTTCGTCTAGTTTTGTTCTCTTCGCTTGCAATTCATTACTAACAGAACTGTCGCTGTTATCACTTTCAGTTGCTTCGTTTGTTAACTCTGCATCAAAAAAGATCATTTTGTATCTTGGATCCAAATAAGTTGACATATCTTATCAGCTTTCTTATTAATTTTATTTTTATTCAAATATCGCAATAATGTGGCAATGTAGAAATTATAACCATAATGGCAGAATAAATATGCTGGATAACCGCATATCCGGCTGAAGGAGATGCCGAATATCCGGTATTCCATCACTACTATGTACTAAAGTAAATGGAGCATAACTAATTACTTTCTTCAACCAAGTTTTCTTTCCGATTTCTACCATCACCTCCAGAAGCCGTGATCGTCTAGTGGTTAGGACCCTACGTTGTGGCCGTAGTAACCCAGGTTCGAATCCTGGTCACGGCAATTAGCTTACATTGTTACAGTGGAGTTGGCTTTTTTTTGAACATTTTCAAAGTTATCTTTTAACATTTTCATATAATTTGAGTCTTATATTAATTACATATTTTATTCTTCAATCCATGATTTCGTCTTATTTATGTCATCAAATATTGTACGTATTTGCATTGGAACTTGTGCTGTATACTAACGATAAGATAAAATAGAGCATAACCAATAGCTTTCTTCAGCCAAGTTTTCTTTCCGATTTCTACCATCACCTCCAGAAGCCGTGATCGTCTAGTGGTTAGGACCCTACGTTGTGGCCGTAGTAACCCAGGTTCGAATCCTGGTCACGGCAATGAGCTTACATTGTTCCGGTGGAGTTGGCTTTTTTTTGAACATTTTCAAAGTTATCTTTTAACATTTTCATATAATTTGAGTCTTATATTAATTACATATTTTATTCTTCAATCCATGATTTCGTCTTATTTATGTCATCAAATATTGTACTTATTTGCATTGGAACTTGTGCTGTATGCTAAGATAAATAGAGCATAACCAATAGCTTTCTTCAGCCAAGTTTTCTTTCCGATTTCTACCATCACCTCCAGAAGCCGTGATCGTCTAGTGGTTAGGACCCTACGTTGTGGCCGTAGTAACCCAGGTTCGAATCCTGGTCACGGCAATCAGCCTACATTGTTACAGTGGAGATGGCTTTTTTTTGAAAATTTTTAAATTTATCTTTTTATACAAATCAAATTTTATGTTAATCGCACATTTCGTTATTAATGATTAACTCCATGACTTCGTCTTATTTATATCCTCAAATGTTGTACTCATTTGCATTGCAACTTATACTATGTAAGTACTAAAGTAAATGGAGCATAACTAATTATTTTCTTCAACCAAGCTCAATTTCTGCTTTCTAACATCACCTCTAGAAGCCGTGATCGTCTAGTGGTTAGGACCCTACGTTGTGGCCGTAGTAACCCAGGTTCGAATCCTGGTCACGGCAATGTAAAGAATCATTTTTTTGAAAATATTTTAATCTACGTCTAAAATTATTTAAATAATTTGTACGTTTTGATTAAACTGACGTCGCTTGCGGCTGAGACGCAACAAAGCGTTATATATGTTACCGTCAATCTGTATAATTCAGGTATTCTATACAATGCCTAGGCAATCTATATAAAAATATTATGAAGATTATTGTCCATTAGATACTTTACCTAGGTAAGGTGTACAATTCCTAGGGATTACATAGAGTACCTGTTGGTCGACTGGTAATGTGTAAAATAAATAGATTTTGGTCTGTATTTATCCATTTTTACACATAATAAACTTTTTTATAATCTATAAGTTATTGTACAAAGAAGACACCTAGTACCTTTCTGTAACTATAGTAAAATCACAATTAAATGACATTAAATTTAAAATTTTTCTGGAATCACTAACATAATGTTATTTACTTATAAGTAATCAAGTAATAAGTATTAAAAACTTAGGAAACAAAATAATTGTGTAAAAACAAGACGTAGAATTGAGTAAGTGACACTTTGAAGTGCATAAAATCTTACTTTTAAGACATGAACACTTTTTAGTATCACAGTGTTTTTTGCAACTACATTTAATAAATCCCTGACCTGTCCCCGTAGATTGCAGATTCGCAACTGTACGGAGCGTCGTTTCTTAATTAGGGACATCTTCTTTTTTAAGTAGTTCTTGACGACAAACTGTAAACTGCTGTCTTGAATACCTATTCTTTACAACACCCTGCTTTGTTCCTATTTTATAAAGTTCCTCATCCGTTTTTTGTAAGACTACAGCTAGTATATTGCGAGCATCGACCTCTGTCGACTTCCGAAACAGGCATTCTTACAGTGGTACCCAATGGCACAGGGGGAAATTTTTTTCTAGAAGTGTTAAGCATTTTCTGAGCTTGCTCTGTTAAATTATCTTTAGAAATGATGTGGTTCTGTACAGCTAAAGCGTTTTTTAAGCATAATGGGCAAACAACTTTAGCACCATAGCCTTCTGCCATATCTTTCTCCGGAGCAGCATAAATAGCATGAATGGGTCTATTGCATGTTCTACACGAATGAGCACCCGTTGTCTTCTCAGTACCAACACAGCACAAGAGTAGGGAATCCAATGATTGCTCACGTTCTGATACAAAATTCAAAACATCTAAGGGTTGTCCATGTACCTCAGAAGGAAGACTTTCAACATTCACAGGTTCATCAAACGCACTTTGAGCATTCGAAACTTCATTACGGATCTCAGAACTTTCGATGACGGGGCTTTGTTGATGTTGAGTCTCTAGAGGTTGATTTTGTGTCCGAACTCGATCTTAATATTAAAGATTCTGAAAGAATCAGAATACTTGGTGATGACTTAATCACATTTTCTAGATTCTCTTCACTTTCCAGGTTGTGGGTATCATCGAGAGATAAAGATATACCAACTTTTACTTTAGATCCAAAAAGAGCTTCGTACGGTGTTCTTTTGATGCCTGAATGGAATGCTTTATTCTTCATGAGTTGTACAAAGCGCAGACCATCACTCCAACGATTAGTGTCACTATCTTGCATCCAAGTTGTTAGTATATTTTCGATGTCCTGGTTTGCTCGTTCGACACTCCCCTGACTTTGGGAATGTCTAGGCTTACCATGTACAATTGTTAAAGTTGGCCAGTACAGTAAAGTTCGCAAAGTTGCAGATATAGTTCAACATCGTAGCGAGTTATATTCTTGTATCGTGTAGAAAGCTCGTTCAACATACGGTCTCGACCGCCATGGCCGATACTTTGATGTGCCTCGTGAAGTACTTGGAATAATTCACTATCAGCAACGTAATATATAATATTGTTATTTGGGGTATTCACAGGAAATATTAACCTATGTTTTTAACCAATAATCCCGGGGTAACTTCTTATTGGCTGTTTTGGCATTTTTTTATTTCTTCTAACAATTGTTCATACCGTTGATCGTCAATAAATGTGCAATTTTTAGTAGTTGCTGATTTTCTTTTAATACACAACTGTGAATAAAATCTTTCTCTCATCTGAGAGACTCATTTATCGGCCGCCATTTTAATGAATTAGATTCACTAACGAAACCACACGACACTTCCACCCTTGTCGCACGCAGCGTAATGAAATGCAAGCAAAAACAAGTCGCTGCGCGTTTGTTTACTGCATGGCCACACACATTGCCTGCTTCGCATTCGGTATTTTATAGAATACCTAGGCAAAGTATAAAATTAATAATATTTCATACATTACCTAAACGTTTTAGGTATTCTATAAAATACCTAGGTATTGTATAGAATACCGGATTATACAGATTGCCGGTATAACATATACATTTGATATTCTGTGTTATTAATTGAAAATGAATTAAATTCTAATTAAAATATATTTTTGATTATTAGGTAATTGCTGTTACTGATTCAGAGAAAAGAAATGATTTTGTTCGAGAAGAAGGAGCATTTGGAACTGTCACATTTTCACCAAGTGTAAAAAGGCAAATAATGGAATTAACAAAGCAAAAAGGGGCCGATATTATTTATGATGCGGTTGGTGCTCACATGTTTAGCATTTTGGGTCAATGGTAAATTTTCACACACATCAATAATTTTTTGTTAAATAATATATTTTTTAGTGTTGCTAGAAATGGAGTAATTTTCCATGCAGCTCCAATAATTTGCAGCGAAATTCCAATTCCCCCACCAAACATATTTGTGGCAATGATTTGCATGAAAACTTTAAGAACCCAAGATCCCGCTTTATACAAAACTTTAATTAATGATACTTTAGAATTGGCTCATGAAGGAGTTTTTACTCCTCATATTGCAAGTACGTTTCCTTTAGAAAAAATAAATGATGCTATTAAATTTATAGATGAGGGTAAACATATTAGTAAAGTACTTATTGAAATGAACACTTAGGATTTATTTATTAATTAAGATTAAAACCTTTATATACTTTTTTCTTTTTATTAGTCTTGTCAAACATTATATTAATGTGTGATTGTAAATAAATATTTATATGATGGTAAGATAAATATAACATGAAATCTATGAGGCAAAATTATTTTTATTTCGTAATTTATGTTATTTACACAAAGTTTGCTTATAACCTAATAAAAAAAATATACATTATATCACATAAGGTTGCTAACAGGAAAATAAGGGACGATAACATAACATTAAATTATTTAACACAGTTTTCTTTTTTGTTGTATCGTCGAAAAACAAAAAAAAATCTTATCACTGGCATTATAAATAAAAATGCTAAAAACATTAAAAAAAAATAAAGAACTTCCTCCATCTTTAAGTTTGTCTCAATGCTAACTTAACTTATCTGGACTTTGATTATTAAAATGGCAAACATCCATAAAAACGCCTTTTCCCCTATTTGATATATCAGCGTATTCTCTTTTATTTCTTGCACAAAGTTTACTCGAAAATTGGGCGTCCCTTTTTCTATTAAAAAAAAATTATACAAATTAAATTAATTAATCAATTTAAAAATTTACCCTCTTCCTGGAAGACCTAATTCGTCAACAGCAATCGTTCGGACGTACAAATGATCATTACACCAAAATAAACATAAAGTTCTCGGTTCTAATACATTCATATCATATTCCCAATTTAATTCAACTTTTTTAATATTTCCACCAAGATCTGCGTGATGCGATAACACCATAGAATAAGTGGAACCATGCTCAAGTTTCATATCACCTGTTGGAGTTAGATCTAAGACAATAACACCGGCTGAACTGTGAATCGATGCTTTTAGAAAACCTTGCACCCAAGTTTCTGCAATTGCGGGTTTTGCTAATTCAAGACTTATTCTGTACAAACGATCTAAAAGAATTCATTTAAAATTTAAAGATTACGCAGATAATAAAACATATAACTTACGGCAAAACGGAAATTCTCTTCCCGTCATTGTAAAGAATTTATTTCCAATGTTTCCTTGAAGTTGGGTGGATACTTCATTTTCCAATCCGGGACTAGTATCGGAATGATATCCCATTAAAGCGCAAGATCCCGAACCTTGTTTACAACCGAAACATTTTCCAGATGTGAAATCTTCATAACTTTTACATAAATGTGCTGTAATAATAAATTTATTTAAATAACCGTTAAATAATCTTTCCAAGTAAAGAATTTCTCACCTATATACGGACATTGTCCGTTTATGCTATCAATGAATAACTTAATCGCTCTGACATGGTTACAAGCGACGAGAACTCTAGACGCTTCCTCAAGACCGTCTCTAAAATTTGCGGAAAATTTCCTTTTGTAACGATTGAATGGAAATTGAACGGTTTAGTTTTTATTCCTTACCTGATTAATGTAAGTGGAACTAAAGGACTTTGAGTTATGTCACATCCCGGTTGTTCTTTACCATTATTGGGATAGAAATCTAAATGACCACATGGTTGAGACATTCCATATCCTATTCAAAGAAGATAATAGGAAAGTTTTTAAATGGATAAAAAATAATGCATGAAAATTAGTCATATAATTAAGCATCAACACTTGAACACTAACCAAATAATAAACAAATGAAGAGAAAAAAAACATATATAACATGTCGTCCTCGTCATCGACAAGATAAAAATGCGAATGCGATAGACCACGACACCTCAAGCTAAGCCAGACAAATACCTAGAGTATTTCCGTTTAAATGTGTACATCTAACGGCATATCATTGTATATTTTAGCAATTTGGTATGTAAACGATTTCTTAAAGAGCTGAAGGCTATGTATCGGGGGAGTCAGTGTGCCTCTAAATCTTATATTCAATGTATGCACGTCAGATCGGAATGTAATCTTATCATATAAATATGAAGGCTTCTGATAGGTGATAATCCTGTGATATAGACAAGCCGAGTGCAATGCCCGACGATTACACATATTCAACCAATTCAAATCAAGCAACCGGTGACCAACATGCTATGCTGTCGCCCAAACACGAATTTTGCACCTTTTGTATCTTTCTTTTAGACAGATAGGAAATAAAAGGTGAATAGACAGCATCGCAATAATTGAAATTCGATAACACCAATGATTCACATAGCATAACTTTCGTTTTTCTATTTAAAAAGTGTCTGCTATTATAAATTAATTTTAAATTACAATATGCACGTTGTGTGCATTTATTAATAAACTCTGCAAACTTAAGGCCGCTGTCAATAATTAACCCAAGGCTTTTTACTACTTCGTTAAGAGGGACATATGTATTATCTACAGAAATTTACTTAATTACTTCTCAATCTCAAATCAAATGCTATTGGTACTGATGGTATTGGTATAAAGATGTTGTTGCTGTGTTGCCCGTTGATTTTGCCTTATATTTGTCATATAATTAACTATTGCATTCAGGGCTCTGTGTTTCCTGACTGTTGGAAAACTGCTCTGATTACGCCAATTCCAAAATCTAGCAATCCCAGCCAATTAAAAGATTTGAGACCGATTAGTATTTTGCCGGTTATATCTAAAATTCTGGAAAAAATTATTGCTGACAGGTTGCGAGAGCACTTAGATAAGTTCAATATTCTACCTATGCGGCAATCTGGCTTTCGTAAAGGATACAGCTGTACTGCTGCCCTATTGGATGTGACCGACGACATTGTTCGTGAGATTGATCAGAAAAATGTCACTATTTTAATTTTACTGGATTATTCAAAGGCTTTTGATACCGTTCATCATAAAACTCTTTTATCTATGCTTCATTACATTGGACTTTCTGATGATTCCATTTTGTTTTTCTGTAACTATTTAACTGGTCGTAAGCAAATGGTAGCTCTAAATGGCAACTTCTCTACTGAATGTGCTGTATCGTCTGGAGTTCCTCAGGGATCAGTTCTTGGTCCAATTCTCTATTTAATTTACACTTGCAATTTATATAATGTACTGAGAAGTTGTAAGGCTCACATGTATGCTGACGATACGCAACTTTACTATTCTTTTAACATCAATGACCTTGCTGATGCACAAAATTGTATAAATTCTGATTTGACAAGATTGGTTGAGGAATCTTCAAAACTTTGCCTTCAATTAAACCCGGATAAATCGTCGGTTATGGTCTTTGGGGGGCGGCGAGCCGTTGGGGAAGTCAAGGCATCTGTGGATCTAAAATTGAATGGCGTTAAGCTAAATATTACTGATGAGTCGCGAAACCTGGGAATCACTATTGATTCTACTCTTAGATTTCGTAAACATGTCGCTTCTCTTCTCCAGCGTGCTTATGCCACGTTGAAGCTACTATATGGCAATAGACAACTGCTTAATCAGCGTCTGAGAGCGCAGCTTTGTGATGCACTGGTGTTAAGCATTTTTAATTATGGGGATGTTCTATATGGCTCCTGTTTAGATGTTGCCGAGTCGTTGCGTGTTCAACGTGTGCAAAATGCATGCTTACGCTTTATATTTGGCATTCGAAAGCGAGAAAAAATATCCCATACCTTAAACTGGGTTGGGTGGTTAAATATGTCTCGGCGTCGTAAATTGCACTCTGCTTGTTTTTATCGAAGAATTATTTTCAATCAAAAGCCTCCCTACTTGTTAAATAAATTGAGATACCGCTCTGACGTGCATAACATCAACATCCGTCGTCGTTCTTCCTTGTCTATACCCCAACATAGATTGCAAATTTTTGAACGATGTTTTTCATATAGTATACCTAATTTGATCAATAGCATTCCTACTGATATTAACAATAAATCTAAGAGTAGTTTTAAATTTTTTTCCAAAGCATATCTTCTTCGGCAGCAGGGTGATTTAAGATAAACAAGTCTTTTGCTTGACGGGATATATATATATAGTATGTATAAAACTATCCCTTCTTTCTTATCCTTCCTCTTCTATTTATTTTTCTTTTTCTTCTTTTTCTATTTCTTTTTTTTTTTCTCTTCTCTATTTCTTTTTCGGCTCCTTCCTTTATTCTTCTTTTACTTTTACTTCTTTCTTACCTTATTGTGTTACTGCATGATCGGATTCTGTTTATATATATTTTCTATATTGATCAAGGGACCGATGAAAAACAATAACACCTGAGTCCATCAGATGCATTGGCTCGGTTTCCTTTGGTAAACCGCTTATTATTTATGATTTAGTACTTCATTTTTTTTATATAGTATAATTAATTTTTTTTTTACTTTTTTTTTACCTGATATTTTCTTTTGTAATTGTAAATTGTACTCTTATTTATTGGTTTCACCAATAAATATATTATTAGAGCAATCGGCCACACTCTGCAGATCCTCATTAACACGCTCACAAGCAAATCGCACATCGTCTGGCCGAAATGAATAATACAACCGAGTATCATCAGCATAAAAATGAGACTTGCAATATTTTATGTATGTAACAAACTGACTCGTATATATAGTATAAAGAAGAGGTCCAAGTACCGAGCCTTGCGGAACACCGGATGACAAATAGAGAGCATCTGAGGATTCATTTTCAACAATTACACTCTGCTGATGATTTCTTAAGTAATCACGTAACAACGCGCTTGCCATGTCGTCCAAACCAACAAACTTCAAAATAGAAAACAACAAATCGTGATTAATGGTATCAAAGGCTTTTGAAAAGTCTAAAAGGCATAATACGGTCGCATTTCCCCTGTCTAGCCCAGAAACAATATCATCAACAATATGAAGTAGCGCACTGGTACAGCTATATCCAGGCCGAAAGCCTGATTGTGTCTGTGGCAAAATATTATTTTTATAAATAAATTTTCTCAGCTGAAAAATAAGAATTTTTTCAGCCACCTTAAACAAAACTGGAAGAATGCTTATAGGCCTTAAATGAGCAAACTCAGTAGGATTGCTAATTTTCACCAGTGGTTTAACCAAAGCACACTTCCAAAATTAAATCCTTAAAATAAAATTATCATCCGACTCACTGTGTAAAAGAAAGGATTGGAGTTCAATGTGGTATCTGGATTATGGATTGTCTCTTGTGTTCGGGGCACTAACTAATTTTCTGGATTGTCTACAGGATTCTTCTTACGGGAAATTGAACTGTTTGTTCTTCGGAAATAGGGTCTTGGATGATCTCGAAGAAGTATCAGTAGTTCTTGGAATAGGTTGTAGGATGATTCTCTTTTTATTTTAATATTGTAAGTTGATTTGACTTTTTTTTAAAAAATTATCTTAAATTTTTGAGGTTATCTCTTCAAAAATTCTTCTATCTGACGACGTGGATTCGACGCTGGTCCGACGACGACTCTCTCCTATGACTCTCTCACTCCCTGCTCGCGATCTCCTTATATACCCCGGCACTCCAACTGTTTTTTCCTCGTTTCTGATTGGCTCTTAGCTTCGCGCCCTTTTCAAAATTCAAAATTCTTGCTTCGAAACTAGCGCCATCTCTTGATTTTTCTCGGAATTAACCTTCAAAATTAAATTCTTTTTTCGTTGATTTCTCCCTTATTCCTTTATGAAACGTAATAAAACTTCGTATTCAACGTTGTCTTTTCTTGTTTTTAGACATACATTGGAGTACACGCCAAATTTCAACAATGAGTAAAGTTGGAAAAATTCAAATTTAAATCAAGGATTTCTTCCTCAAAATAACGTTAAAACCTCAAACGATGGATGAAAAATGTGCTTTAGGAGCTGAACTACAATAATTGATACATTTGGAAGTAAACAAAACGGTTTAAGATAAGATTTTCACCAACAAAAAATCTCTCTGTCACAAATTCTAGGTTATGTTCTCTCGGTGAACTAAGAGAATGTTAAAATTATTACAGTATCAAATAATCTATAATGTGTGGGGATGATAGTTTTATTAATGCAATATTTAGATTATTAATATTTGCAGCATTACTTTTAACTGAAGAAATTGCAGTAATAACCTCACACTCCGTAACCGGACTAAAGGAAAATGTTGACTGAACAAGTCTATTATTTAGATAAAAATGATAAAGCGCATCATCCAGCAAAGTCACATTATCAGATACAGAGAGAAGACCTTATCATATCTTGGCAAAATATCCGACAACGTATCCTCAATGATATCAATAAAAGAAGAATAGTTAAATGTTGGAGGTCTATAGACAATTCCAACAGCCTCAGCCATCTATTCGATAGCATCACTGACTCCCACAATCCTATACCTTATATTATTTCGAATATAAAGGGCCACTCCACCACCCCTTCGATGATTACGATCGATCCGCTCCAACACAAACCCATCAACGTTCAAAACATCTAAATGAACTGCCGAATTCAACCATGTCTCACTTAAGCCAAGAATGTCGTAGTCGGCATCGCTAACAAGAGATCTTAACTTACCAAGAGACGACAATAAAGACCGAATGTTTAGATGTGCAAGCTTCATGTGCCAACAGACTTAAAAACTAAAGAACTATGAAAGATCTGATTGACTTACCCAGGAAAAAGATTCCTTTTCCATCCGTATGGATAACATCAACGAATTCTGCATCGCTTGGATCTAAACGAACATGAGCTGGCATTCCCTAATATATATAATAAATAATAAATAGGTGATGTATTTAAAAAAATTAGCTTAACGTTACTTGAAAGTAAGGTTCCGCTGGATCTAACCCCGTTATTCTTCCGAGTCCTTTCACCATGGAAGCTGCATATCCCGCTGTATGAGCCCCCAATGAATGTCCAATAATATGAACGTCTGCCGCATTAACTCCATAATTTTTCTGTAAATTGAAATAAAATCTAAAAATTGTACCAGAATATTATTAAGATTAAATCGATTAAAATTTTTTTACCACTAAATAATTTATAAAATATCCTAATTCTAATCCAACAAGTCTTGTGTTAGCCGTTGCTTGGGTGTAAAGAGGTAAACTTCCCCCAGCCCAATCGACAATGATTACGTTCATATCTTCACCTTTAAGAAGTTCATCTTTCATATCTCCAACCTAATCAAAATAAAACAGTTTTACTTTTTAAAGTTTTAATTGTTACAAACTTATGGAATGCGGCAATTCGGAAGTAGCGTGTATTGTTAGATTGATGAATTGAGGAAACACAAGAGTTATGTAAACATACCGACGAGTTTAATCTGATTAAATTTCGCGCATTTAAATGATAAACACGTTTAGAAAGCAAATTCCTTTATTTCCAAAAACACTTTATTATTTTCTTACCCAATTTGATAGTGGAGTATCGATAAATCCGTGGATGATAAATTTAGTTTTCTTTTTGGCATCAAATTTAGACATCTCGATACTTTTATCTTTCGTCCGTAATAGCAGCCCCTAAAATATCATGGTATGAATTAACTCGATTAATAAATTAATCACGACCGTAGGCGGAAATCGCACGTTATAATAACAGACCGTAGTGGTCAACGTGCGGAAAATGAAAACAGATTGTTATGGAATAAGTATTATTAGATCATAAACGAACGAAAAGGAAAGTTTAAGCGAGATTTTTGTTTGTCGTACTCGCGTTAATGTTACGTATACCAACACTTTACGTAAATACACATTATTTATAACTTTTAATTGTTGATATCTTCGTAATGACAAAACAAAACCAGTACAGTTTTGATTATTCTAGTTCTATACCTTTTCAAGATCAAATTGGCACTAATCAGAATCAAAATGACATTAGTCAAAATCAAATTGGCAATGTCAATTTCAAATTGGCATTAGTCAAAATTAAATTGACAATAATCAAAATTAAAATGGCATTAGTCAATATCAAATTGGCAATAAACAATATCATATTGGCGTTAATCAACAAATTTAGCACTAATCAAAAGCAAATCGGCATTAAACAAAATCAAAATGACATTAGTCCATATCATATTGGCACTTATGAATTTTAAATTGACATGGAAATAAAATTATATATCAGTATTAAATAAAATGAAATGGGCAAAAACATTTTATTGACTTACAAACACAGTAGATAACAATTATATTACTTAAGGAAGCGAAAGTTGGATGGACTAATCCGCCCAACTATCCAAGGTGAAGAAATTCCTTTCTCAAAGGAAGTCAAATATCTAGGAGTAATCCTAGACAAAACCCTGTCATGGAATGGACATTTGCAGGGAGTTTTGCACAAAACTAGACTATCCTTGTGGACTTGTCGCAGTCTTTGTGGAAAAAATTGGGGTCTTACCCCTGAAAGACTGTACTGGCTCTATGTGACTGTGGTTAGACCTATGATCACATACGGAGCAGCAGCCTGGTATAGGAAAGTTCGACAGATTTCAGTTATCAGTAAACTTTCACGAATTCAACGAGTAGCTGGATTGGCAATCTTTGGTGCGATAGGCACAACGCCAACTCTAGCAATGGAGGTTCTGCTTGGCCTATCTCCTCTGCATTTGCATATAGAGAAAGTGGCTAGAACAACCATTTACAGATTTAAGCAATATGCTCAAAACTGTTCCGACATGTCCTACCAATGGGCTGCGGAAGACATTATAAGCACTGATACTGTGCTATCAATGCCGTCAGATTTGGCGGTATCACTATCAGTGATTAATGCTCGATACCAGATTGTACTGCCTGAGCGGCGGTCCTGGATCGAAAATGAAAATTCTCTGGTTCGGGCAGACATTTGCTTGTACACAGATGGATCAAAAACGCGAGGTTTTCTGCGAGGTTTGTAAAATTGCAGTAATGTCTGCCATCAAACACGTTTGCTTCCGTTGGAGAGAATTGTCTCTATCTCATGTCTTGAGCATTCCTGCTGCAGTAACTTTTTCACGACGCATGGAAGGTTCCGGGTCGGCTATCAATTCTTGCCAAAACTTAATGCACTCAGGGAGATTATGCAGCACTGCAGTTATAAGATTATGCACATGTTCTGCAAATCGCACTTCAAAATAAGGTGGGAATGACAGATATTCGGGAAACATTTGTTGCATTTTCTTCAATTTTGCGGGAGAGGTTCGAAAATACCTCGAAGTTCCTGTTATATAACTCATCAACATTTTTTAGTTCAGGAACCAATTCTAAGGCCGATTCCATTGCTAGGTCAGATCGATGACAGTAACACCATACAGTTAGTAGTTTATTGTTTACAGCTAGATAGTCCACTAGCAATTCTCAAAGGCCACTTTCTCTTCCATTATTGGCAGCTACTCCATCTGTTGTGACGCCAACTAATAATTCGGTTGGAACAAAAGATTTTTCACAAGTGTTGCCCGTCGCCTCGAGCAATCTTTTGGCCCCTTTCGATTCTGGCTGACTAACCCCTATGAAACGACTGCGGAGTACTGTAGGTTGATCCTTGGTAACATACTTAGCAACAACGTACTTCATGTCTTGATTACCACAATCTACACTTCCATCAATCTGAAGAGATATGCAAAGAGCCGATTTAAACTCATCATGAAGTTTCTTCTTCTCTGTATCTCCAATAACGTGAAGCATTTCAGCATAAACGACGTCATCCCTGTAATGAAGTGCAGAACCACGGGGCTGAAACTCATCCAGCTGAATTTCCCAGTCATTCGAATCATTCAGCTGGCATTGCATTGATTTAGCGCGCATTGCTGCCAATGAACGAGCTGGCCAAGTACGAGCAGTGGGCGTTTCAAGCAAAGATTCGTTGTAAACGTCAATGCATAAGCCAATTAAATCGCGGACAACCATTACTCTATGCTTTTTTAAAGTTTTAACACAAGTGTTTGTCGGATTGCAGCAGGAGTATACTGCCAGACACCTCGAATTAAGCAAGCCTACAGCCTGGGTACGTACTGTACTGTATTCCAGGCGGAAGTATTTGCTATTGACATGGGTGCTAAAATCCTTCTTGAAAGAGGGGTGAAGAACATGACAGTACGAATTTTCTCAGACAGTCAAGCCGCTCTCCAGGCGCTGCAAGCCGTGAAAACGGTGTCGGCTCTGGTTAATGATTGTAAGAGAACATTAAACACACTGAGTTGTGATAACAGAGTCTCTCTGATCTGGGTCCCGGGTCACTCTGGGGTTGCTGGCAATGAAGCGGCAGATAAGCTAGCACGAGATGGCAGCGCTGAAGCGTTTGTGGGACCGGAACCAGCAGTTGGTGTATCATTTGCGATGGCCAAATATAGGATTGGACTGT